CACACACACACACACACACACACACACACACACACACACATACACACTAATAAAAAAAAAGAAACTGGCAGGATCCCAAGAAAGGCAATGGTAGTCACTAGTGATGCTTCCGTCAGCACCTTCTGTGCAGAGTGGGATGTGGGGTATTTGGGGACTGTGCAGTTGGTAGCTTTTTTGTAAATCTAAAGTTGGTCCCAAATAAAAAGTTTTTTTTCTCCTTTTTCTTAAATTTAACTTGTCATAAAGTTTTTATATACAGTTGGTATGCATTGTAACATGATATTAAAAGTTAATCAAGTTTGTCTAAAATGTTAACCTGGGGTCTGGGGAGATGGCTTAGTGGAATAAGCGCTTCCCTGGCAAGCACAAGGGCCTGAGTTCAATCCCCAGTTCCACAAAAAAATAAATAAATGAATAAGTAATGTGTTAACTTGGCAGCGCAGCACATTTGACATTATTACCACATGAAAAGGGAAATCAAATGGATTTACAGGAACTTTCGGCCATTTCAATTCTGAAATGGTTGAATATCCACCCTTTCAAACCAAATTCATCTGAGAAAAATGTTTCCAGAATATATCATTTAGACTTTCCATATTATCTCACAATTTTTTTCTTGAAAAGTTATTTAAAAACCACTGTTTGATTAAAAAAATTAAGATGTGTCATGTATGTGTACTAGTTCCCTGTGGTGAATGTAGTCACTAGTATGAACGTGTACTAATAAAAATAAAAATTTAAAAACAATGTAAACCATTGTTTGGACAGGGAGAGACGCTCATGAGGGATGGGTGAGAGGTGCTGGGGATTGTTGGTGCTTCTTGGAGTGTCCTAGGCTGGCGACCCCTCCACCCATGAATCGGGGCTCCCAGGGATGGGGACCAAGGCTTCTTCAGGGGCTTGCATGTTCTGGTCTCTCCCACACCCTTTGCTGCAGAGCCAGGCACTGAGGTGCGACCCTAGCCTGCCCCCAGGCTGAGATGCATGGGAGAGTACACAGGTGAGGGACCCTGGGGGAGCTATCCATGGAGGCTCAGCAGAGCGTGGTGCGGGTGTGTGGGGGTCTCAGCTGCTGGGAGCGGGGAAGGCCAGAGCCCTTCGTCCCTGAAGTCCTGTGTCTGTCTCACAAGGGCCACCTCCCCTCTGCTGCCACCAGGCCTGTGGCCCACTACTGGCACTTGATCCCAGCCCCACTGGGCCCCACCTGGCTGTTGTTAGAGAAGGCATACAGGGCCAGAGGCTTCTCCCGATGGTTGATGAAGTCGATGGCTTCGTCCAGGCTTCTCACAGTCATCAGGGGCAGGATGGGCCCGAAGACCTCCTCCTGCATCACCGGCTCCGTCTCCTGCACATCCACCAGCACTGTGGGTGCTGTGGGCACAGAGGTGGCTCAGCCTTGTGCAGTAGTTGGGACACCCCCTGCAGGCCAGAGAGTCCCAGGGTCTGACTTCCCAGGACACCAGGCCCAAAGTATCTGAGGATCTGAGCTCCTAGTTCTGCCCTCTAGGGATAGCATATGGGATGGACATCCTTTAAGTCACGTGTGAGGCCCCCATGGAGCATCCAAGCTCAACATTTCTGGAGCACTGGGACCAGAGTTTAGAATTAGGGAGTCATAGGCTTAGAATCACGGATCTGGAGCATTCGTGCCCTGGAATTGTGGCACTGAACCTGTGGACGCAGGCCAGGCTCTAGCAGCATGGACAGGTCTTAGCCAGGTGAGCTGTGGTGGGAGCGGGGGGGGGGGGGGGGCTCACCAATGTACAGATTGTTCTCCTCACTCTGACCACCAATGACCACGCGGCCACAGCGCAGCAGTCCCTGAAGCCGCTTGAAATGTTTCTGGCTGATGATACGGCCCAGATTGGGGGAGCTCCGGGGGTCGTCGCCATAGAAACGAGTGATGGCATTCTGCAAGGCCGGCACCAGCCGCTCCTGCATCTCCTGGCTGCACAGGACGTAATCAGGAGCCACGCAGGTCTGGCCGGTGTTGAAGTAGCGGAACCAAGCCAGGCGGTTGGCCACAGTCTGAGGGTCACAGTTGTCATCCACATAGCAGGGGTTCTTGCCCCCCAGCTCCAGGGTGACGGGCGTCAGGTGTTTGGCAGCAGCAGCCATGACAATCTTGCCTACACGAGGACTCCCTGGGGATGTAGAGAGAACCCAGAGTCACCCTGAGCAGGGGGGTGGCCTCACCCTGGAGACCCTACTCCTCCCTTGAGAGGTGGTTAAGGTAGCTGGGGCAGCCCTCACCTGGCTGTCCTTGCCATCCTGCCACGTTACAGGCAGTAAATCTGCTCATCTCGCCCCCAAAACGAGGCAAGCTCCAGCCAACGCAGTGTTTTCTCTTGAGCACCCTGTGTTCTCACCATTAACGAGCTCCCCAAGGACTTCATACATCAATTGATTCATTCATCCTTGAACTGACCTGTGACTTAAAGATCACCCTGGTTTTACAGATAAGGAAACAGGACTGAAGAAATCAGGTATGGGTTCATGGATGTGGCCTGGCAGCCAGCCTGCAACAGTCACCTTGCCGGTGCACCCTGGTGCTGAGCTCCTGGCCTAGCACCCCGGAGACCATGAGGTGCAGTGGTCGGGTGCACCGGGGCCTTCCCCACCCCTTATTTTCATCTGCAGGGACTGCTTGAGCTGTGGCTTCCCTGTCAAAAAGGGCTTTCCTGTGTGAGGTGCAGGCTCTGGAGAGCAGGACAGGGCTGGCATCCTCCTTACTCTGACACTGTTCAAGGTTGGAGGCCACCATGGGTATAGGCAGACTCTGGAAGTACCACCTCCTACGTCCTCAGCTCCAGAAACTGCATTCTGATCCTGCAGCCAGGCAGTGCGTGGGCCAGAGGTGCATGCACTAGGGCCATGGCAGATGACCACTGGGCTTGGGTACAGATGTGACTGGGCCAGCAACCCTGAGCAGAGCACTTTGGCCTTTCCTCACCCTGGCCCAGTCCCTCAGCCAACAGGGGACTGTGGGGACAAGCAAGGTTGCCAATACAACCCTGGGGGGAAGTAGTCAGCAAGAGTTCAGAAGTGCTCAGTTTCTGAGATTGTAGTTGGTGGAGGGCTGTGGTCCCAACACCCTTCCTAAGAGTTCAAGTCTGCTTCCAACCAGGGCCCCTGCCAACAGGGCCCCTCCCTGGCTGTCTGCCTTGTAGGCCAAGGGCAGGAACAAGATCCCCAGTGGCCTCACCTGTGAAGAAGATGTAGTCGAATCTGTGTTCCAGCAGCCGCGTTGTCTCCTCAGGTCCACCCAGTGCCACAGCAAAGCAACTCTGCAAAGCACACAGGCCAGGCCTCCCTCAGGGCCCCCTGGTAGAGCCCAGCCAGCAGCCTGACTTGCCTGGCCTCTGCTGCTCTCCTGCCTGGTGTGACCAGGGTTGCCCAGGCGCTAGGGGGCTGGGCAGGGCTAGGTATGTGTGGGGTGTGTGTGTGTGGGCAAATCTGAGGCTAGGCCCAGTGATTTGGCCAATGCCTCACTGCAGAAGAAGCAGCCCTGGAGCTGGGTCCCGGGGCCTCCCATACCACACAGGGCTGCACAGCCCATAGGCCTAGCCGGATCCTGCTCTGTGGGCCCACAGCACTACTCACCTGGTCCAGGTAGCGGGGCAGCACCTGGGCCAAGATCTTCTCAATGCTCTTGCTGATCTCTGACGGCTTCAGCATCACACAGTTCCCTGCAGGCAGCACAGTGAGACATTGGGCAGTGGCGGCTCCATGTTTGTACCCTGCCAGTCAGGCTGAAGCCTCACCCATTTTCAGACAACAGATTCAGCTCAGAGGTGAGGTGGATGCTGGGCCACACAGGAGCACCCAGAACCAGCTCTCCCATGTCCTCCTTGGCTCTGTGTGGCTCAGGTCAGAGGAGGGGGACATGGAGGATCCCCTCTCACCTGCTGCGATGGCCCCCACCAGGGGCACCAGGATCAGGTTCAGGGGGTAGTTCCAGGGGGCGATGATGAGCACCAGGCCGAAGGGCTCCTTCCGGATGAAGGCTGAGTCTAGCTGCGTGGCCTGGGCCAAGAGCCAGGGTGAACAGTGAGAGGCGTCCAGAGAAGCCATCCCGAGGAAGCAAACAGTCCTGGAAGCCACTGGCCAGCCCTGTCCCCTGAGCCACTCACCAGGTTCTTGGGCACCTTCTGGTCCTTCATCCAGGCCCGAAGGTTCCTGAGGGCCAAGTCCACCTCGCTCTGGCTAATGGCGATCTCAGACACCTCTGACTCAAAGGCTGACTGTGGGAAGGGGTCCCAGGTCAGCAGGTGGCCGGAGCATGGGCGGCACAGCCTCCCCAGCAGGGCCCATCCCTCACTCACAAATGCTCAATGAGGGCCTCAGCACATGTGCTGTTCCTTTACCAGGGATGCATTAGAGACCCAAACAAATGGAGGAACTTGCCTTGTGGGGCTGGCTAAGGGGTGGCGACCGTGTATGAGAACACTGACAGCTGTGTGGCCATGACAAGTGCTACGGAAAGAGTAGAGCCTGAGTGTGTGCGGGGGTGCACAGGGCGTGTGGACATGTGCATCTGCTCCATTTTGTGCAAGGTAGTCAATACTTGGAGAAAGGCAGGGAGGGAGCCTTGTATGGTGGAGGTGGAGTATGCGGGGCAGCGATCCCAGCAGGTCCAAAGGCTCGGAGGCTGGCAAGGCCCGCCTGTCCTCTCAGCTCAGAGCAAGGGGTGAGGTGATGGGGCTAAGCCCTGCCACCCAGAGTGGGGACAGGATCAAGCTTGGCTTCTGTACGACCCACTGTGTGGCTGCCAAGGCCTGCTGTGTTTACCCACCTACAGGGGACATGGCACACAGCCATGCTAGGGTAAATCTTGTCAGTTCCCACAGCCCAAGGACCAGGGGTGACTGTCAGGTTTCCAGAGCAGGAGTGGGAAGACAAATCTATAGGGATGCTGGTTTGATCTCTACCAGCTGGTGTACCCTGTTCCCGTTCCAGGAGGCACCATCCTTAGGGTGCCTGCCTGGGTCACAGCCATTACAATGCAGCTGTCCTCTATGGGCGGAGGGGCCTGAGGGCTGAGGGCTGCTGGGAAGCCCCATTGAGCAGATGAAGGCCAGGGATGAGGGTGCCCTGTGCAGGGTCACTCTGCAAACCAGTGGCAAGACCAGGGCCAGAGGACAATGCCACATTCACTTGCACTTCTTGGTGGCTTGGCCTGGTCCAAGCCGGACTTCATTTGTGTCTACAGAGGCTCCTTCCCTACTGGCCTGCCAGTCTGCCCCTCATATGCCAGGGCCTGAATGGGATGTGAGCTGGTATGAGCTGGTTTCGAGATCAGTGTGGTACAGCTTAGCATCACAATTCTGGGAGAACACACTACTTTGAGCCAAGTTCAAAACATGACTCTGGGGCTGGTGAGATGGCTCAGTGGTCTAAAGCACCAACTTAGAACAAGCTCAGCAAAGCACAGGGACCGCGGTTCAATCCCCCAGCACCACATGCCAGCCAGCCCCGCCCCCTGGTGGGCTGAGCTGGCCACACACACACACACACACACACACACACACACGCACAAATAAATAAATTAAAAAATTAAAAAAAAAAAAAAAAAAAACATGACTCTGCCCCTCCTGGCTATGTGTCATCACTGGGCAAGAATATGTCCTCTCTGAGCCTCCCCAACACAGTAAGAAGGGCTGGCACAGCTTAACTGAGAATGTGGGTGGCAGAGGCTGCCCACTGGGGGGTGGGGACAGTGGACTGCTGAGGTCGAGGGAGGGACTGATTGAATTTTCTGGGCTATTGCTTCCTTTGTGAGGCCAGGGCTGTGGAGTCAGGATAAGAAAGCAGAATCGAAATCTGAGCTGCAAGGGGAAAGGGACCAGATAGCCCAGTTGGTTGGGCGTTGGCTCCACACCAACAGGGCAGACAGGGCAGTCTGTCCCCAGGGAGCCCGCTGGGCCTGTAGAAGCTCTGTGCCCTGAGGCCTTTGAGGCAACAGCAGTGAACACTTTTGTCCAGAGCAGAAAAGTCCCAGGGTTCACTGTGCTGCTGCAGGGGTCAAGCAGTGACCTTGCCAGGGAGGGCTTGGGGGATGGCTGTGGGGAAAAGTGTTTTGGGGGACTCTGTCCCAACTGCTGCTGGACCTGGAGAGGCTGAGCCCTCCAGCTCTCATCTTTCACCTCTGTTCCCTCCAGCTCCCCTGCCGTCTGGGGCTCCTTAAGCACCCTTGCCTCAGGGCCTTTGCAACAAGCCTCCCTATCCTCCATATCTCTGCTTTAATGTCCCCTTCACAGGGAAATTTCCTCTCCCACACAAAAGCCAGTGCCCCCACACACCCTGGGAGCACCTCTGTGGCACTGTCACCTCCCAATACACTGTGACTGTGCTGACTATTGGAGTGTCTTGCCAAGATGGGGATTTTGGTTACTTCTCTGTGTGTCCCTGAGCCTAGGCCTGAGCCGGGTGCACAGCAGGTGCTCCATGCAGTTGACTGGAGGAAGCAGGCTAGAGTTCTGGCCAGGGAAGGAGCTGGGACCTGCCAGGCTATTAGTTCCCCTTCCTGGAGGACAAGCCTCTCCCTGTCCCCTTTGTTCCTGGTCTTCTACCCCTACCCAGTGCACCCTCCCTCCATCCTTAGCCCCAGTCACCTTCTGCAGGTCCTGGGCCAGAGCATCCTGCAGCTGCTGCTTGTTTTCCCGGAGAAAGCGGCCCAGGCCCTCCAGCTGCGCCACCCGGAATGCGGCCGGCCGTGTCCGTCCTGAGCTGAAGGCCTCCCGCAGCCGCTGCACTGTGTTCTCGAAGGCATCCATCCTGCCAGATGGGCAGAGTGAGTTGGTTGGGTGCAGAGTGCACCCACCTTTGGGAACACTCTGCAGCTGCCCCAGGGCCTGCAGCAGCCCTGCCCCTGCCATCCTCATATGGCTCACAGTCCCACAGGGCCCCCAGAAACCCCGTGGACCAGGTGTTGCCCTAAAGTCCTGACCCATGGGACACACTACGGCCCTCAGACCACTCCCTCTGTCAAGGGAGCTCCAGGCTGCAGGATGGGATGTGGCTTGGGACAGACCCCAGGACCCCAGGCTGGGCAGGCAGGCCAGGGACACATATCTCCCACTGTGACACCACCTTGCCTGGTGTGTCCACCATGCAGCCTCACCCAGCCAGTGCAAGAGTATGGTAAGCAAAGGAAATGCCACCAGCTGCACGAGACCACCACTTTGGACCATGCCAGGCTCACGATCTCTGTGTTCCCCTGCACGTCTGTCCTCCCCAGCACTGAGGTTGAAGGAGGCCAGGTGACTGGTGGTATTCTAGACAGCTGGGTTAGGCAGAAGTGTCATAGGCAGTCAGACAGGGCTGGGCCCTCAAGGGTCAGTAGAAAAGATGAGAACACAGTACAATTGTGGCTGGAGGTGCATCTGTTGGAGAGCAGACCTCAAGATAAAGATGGAAGGGGCCGGGGAGATGGCTCAGTGGAATAAGCACTTCCCTGGCAAGCGCAAGGGCCTGAGTTCAATCCCCGGTTCCGCAAAAAAAAAAAAAAAGAAAGAAAAAAAAAAAAGATAAAGATGGAATTACATGGCCTATGTGCCTCCCTGAGGAAAAGGAGGAGTGGTAATACCTGGTCCAATAAAGTCTAGATAGACATCAGTCACCTTGGTGGGTGACAAAGACCCCAGGATTCATCCCTTCCTGAGAAGTTCTTTGTTCTGTGTACACTTGCTGTATGACCTGATTCCCCGTTAGATCAATATCACCTAAGCAGCTATCCTTGCAGTCTTATTGGTTGATCGCAGCTTTAGCCCACATTGTACCCACCTTGTGATTTTGCTCTGTAAGACTGCTTTTGAGAAGTGGGCTGCTTGGCCACCCCATCAGGTCCCCTCCTGTCTCTCTCTTTTTTAAAAAATTTTAGTGTGTGTGTGTGTGTGTGTGTGTGTGTGTGTGGCCAGCTCAGCCCACCAGGGGGCGGGGCTGGCTGGCATGTGGTGGTGGGGGATTGAACCTCGTCCCCGTGCTTTGCTAAGCTTGTTCTAAGTAGGTGCTTTAGACCACTGAGCCATCTCACCAGCCCCACCCCTCCTGTCTCTTGATAAAATTTCCTACTCCTGACTTTTGTTATTCCTTAGAATTCATCCTTTAATTTTATAAAGTATGGGACATCCAGCAGGTTATGAGTTGCATTTACTTCCCCTATGTAACCTAAGGGGCCTGTATCAGGGGCCACTGAGAGGCCTGGGTGACCTTGGGCAGCGGTCCTTCTTGTACCTCTACTCCCCATAGGACGAAGAACACCTCTGGCCTCTGGAGGCCCTGCCCCACATGCCAGCCCAGGCTGTGGCGTTTAGAGGAGAAAATGACAGTGCGGGAAGAGGACCAGGGCAGTCATGTCTCCATGCTGTCACCAGTTAGGGCTGGCAGGCAGGATAGGGGCCTGACATTCCCCTGGGCTCCATCTGTTTACTTGAGGCTCCGCAGAGGAACACTGTAACACACTCTGTGCTCAGCCTGGTGCCAAAGACCCGTGGGGATCCTGACCTCGTTCCCTCTCTGCCTGTCTTCTCTTTGGCTCTGAGGATGGCTGTTGCCTCCTCCAGGCAGCCCCTTCCCTGACTGCTCTCATCCGCCCGCTCTCACAGTGGTCCTTCGGCTGTGCTCCCTCTGCCCTGGCAATATATCTATATCTATATCTGTATCTGTATCTGTATCTGTATCTGTATCTGTATCTGTATCTGTATCTGTATCTGTGTCTGTGTCTGTGTCTGTGTCTGTGTCTGTGTCTGTGTCTGTGTCTGTGTCTGTGTCTGTATCTGTATCTGTATCTGTATCTGTATCTGTGTGTGTGTGTGTGTGTGTGTGTGTGTGTGTGTACATGCTCAGTTACTCTCCATGTAACTCCACTGCACTCCAGGGCAGCAATCTGTTGTCACATAGCTGTCCTGAGTGGTGACCCCACCCTTACCCTCAGGATGCCTGTTCCAAAGTGGCCAAGAGCAGGTTTGGAGCTCTAGGCTGCCCTAGCTCCGAGCCCAGTGGGCCGAGCTGACCCTGTAGATCTCCTGTTCTGACCTGGACGGACTGTGCAATTAGCTCAGCACAGGACAGGGCCTGGCCCCAAGAGGCAGCTGGGAGCAGAAGTGGGCACAGCCCTGCCAGCCTCCAGCACCACCAGGCTGGGATCCTGCCTGTACCTTTTAGAGGCTATGCGATCCTAGGCAAAGCCCTGGCTGCCCCTGCCTCCATTTCCTGGTCCCTAGCTCTGCTGGGGATCCCACAGCATAAGGCTGCACAAAGTACTTGGCACTGTGCTCACAGAAAGCTCAGGTGAGGTCAGCAACAGTTATTTTACTAAGGAGTCTACAAATATTTGCTCTCCTGGCCTTTCTCTCTGGCTCTCACCTCCAACTGCCACTGATAGAGCCAAGGTAGACCAGGCCTGCCCCTCCCACTTCTCATCAGGGGCTCTGCAGAACCCACAAAAATGTAAAGCTCGAAGTAGGACAGAGGCCTGGGAACAGGGTAGCTGTGCAGGGCAGAAGGTTCCAGCAGTTGCTCCTAGCAACAGTGAGGACAATGCTCCCGGCACCAGGGGGCCACAGCCTGGCCCAGCTGAGAGAGTGCCCATCAGGCAGTGGGGACAGGCAGGACCCCAGCAAGCAGAGGAGCAAAGGCTGGATCAGACCACTGTGGGCTTTGATCTCACAGAAGAGCTGAGCAACTATTGTGGGTGCGAAGCCCAGGGGATCCTGGTGCTCACGCTCTGGCTGGGCACCGGCCCTGCTCCCTTCAGACATCTCGCACTTGAGCACCACGCTAGCTCAGCAAGGGGCCATCATTCTCCCAGTGGAAGGAGGTAGAAACAGGAGAAGACAAGTTGCTTGCCTGAGGCCACCCAGCTCCTTCAGAGTGCATACTCCAGACCCAGAGGATCAGAGGCTGTCCTTGCAGTCTGGCCACAGTCCCCTGGGGAAGGGACATCTGTGGGCTTGGACCCCAGGTCCGTCATCTCAGGGCAGGGAGGTGGCCAGCAGGAGGGAAAAGGTGCACTGCAGTCCCTCGGACCCATCTCAACCTCATTCCTGCCAATTCCCATGGGGCAGGACTTGCAGGTGGCCCAGGGTCTCTACAAGGGTGGGGCATAGGGCTGGCAGGAGCTGTCACATCCTTTGATGGTGAGAAGATGGTCCTGTTTCCCTGAGGGCCAGGCCAGCACCATGAACTTGAGGAGTATTCTAAAAATAATAATCAGGCAAGCTGGGTGTGGTGGCACACACCTGTGATCCTAGCAATCTGGGGTGCTGAAGCAGGGGGATGGACAGTTCCAGGTTAGCTTGGGCAATTTAATGAGACTGTCTCAAAAATAAAAAGGGCTGGGGATGTAGCTCAGTTGTACCCTTCCCCCTGTCAAATTATAATATCCAAGCCTTGACTCTGCCAGGTGCTGGGTCAGTGTGGGCACTGACACTGGGTGACAGACTAGAGAAGGGAGAAGGAGGAGGTGGACGCCGGGATCTGCTGGCCCCGAAGACTCTTGGGTTTGATACTTTCAAGGCTGCTGCCCTGTGCCCTACCAGACTCCTGCCAGGAGGGAGGGAAGGAGCAGGAAGCTCATCTGTGCTTTTTTCCTTAGCCCAAGTCCTTATCTTAAGTGTTGCCTTCTTTATTTTTTTGGATACTGAGAATCAAACTTAGGATTTCACACTTGCCCGGCAGGCGCTGTGCTGTTGAGCTATATCCCTGGCCTACCCCTGTTGCCTTTGAAGAGTCCCAGCCAGTATGGTGTGGTGCAGGAGTGTAATGACCTGCCTTCAAACCCCAGCAACTATGATTACTAGCTGCAGTATCTTGGGCAGATCTTGGGGCCTCAGTTTTTCTATCTGTGAAAGGAGGGCAGTACCGATAAGCACCCCACTGTTACAGGGATGTGAATCAAGCTTCAGAGTGCTTATATTGGGGCAGAGCTTGATCACTGTGCCTCTGAGTGGTTGAGACTCAGACAGATGGTGAAGGACAGATGTCCTAGAGGGGAATTGGGGTGAAGACCCCTGGGTTGGGGCCCCAAGAGACCTTGATGCCAGGGAATGGGACACCAACTTGAGACCCAGGTGGGGCAAGGATGTGGTGACAGAGGTACGTGAACATGTGGTCCCAAGGCCTGGGGACACTCATCAGGGAGACCAGAGGTGCACACACTGGGTCAGCCTGACAAGCCCCACTCCCAGGGTCTCCAACTCCAACCCCCTGCCCTTTTGCCTGAACCTGGGGTTCACAGAGTCTCTCAGGCTCTGGCCTGCAGCCTTCCCTCATAGGGTCCCTGGGGAGCTGGCCCAAGGCACCCTTAAGCTATGGACTGAGCCAACCCTGCCTTACCCCCATGGGCAGGCTGCTTCACACCTCCAAGATCCCAGAGTCCCTCCTCGAGGCAGGGCAGTTCCCTAGTCCCTTCCTCCCTGGGCTCTGGCATTGCCAAGAAGAGTCTTTCCTGAGCTTCTCTGTGTCTCCCTGCTAGCAGCCAGTACCCTCTTCGGCCCTCCCTCTCCTTGCCTTCCACCTCCGGTTTCTTCTTCCCCTTTCTCCCCCAGGAAAGGCGGGTGAGCTGAGCAGGACAGCTCAGACTGCACGGGTGTGTGCGACTGCACTGCGTGGCTAAGCCTGCTCGGATGCCAGCTAGCCGGAGCAGCTGAGCTGGGTCCTGGCCCCTACTAACAGATGCAGCCCCAGCCTCCCCAGGATACGGTACCTGGACCCTGTCAAAGTGCTGTCCTTCTGGCCGTCCCTGCTTTCCCCGGGGACTAAGGTTATGAAATGTCCAACCCAGCCAGCCCATGGGGCGGGGCCGCCTTGGCTTGGTGCCGCCCTGGTCTGATGCCTGACCTCGGCTCAGGGCCAGCTAGAGGCTGCAGGCTGAGATATTGCCACCACTTCCTTTGGGGGCCTGGCTCACAGAGAAGAAGCCAGGGCCCAGAGAGGTCTGGTGCTAACCAGGCCACACAGCAGGTCTGAGCTCTGAGCCCAGGGCAGTGGCAGAGTACCAAAAGCCAGGCTTTTCTTTGAGGCATTGCCTATTCTGAGCCTTAATTTTCCCTCTCTGCAATAGGAAGAGATCAGAGCCAGCAAAGCTGGATTTCAGGAATGCAACCTCAGGACCACACCAGCTGCTGCTTGTGACTCCAGGACCCTGAAGACCACCCCGTGCAGAGCACTCCCAAAGCCACACCTTACAAATGCAGAAAGGGGCCCAGGGAGAGGATAAGGCTTGCCCACCTGGGGTACGAGCGAGCAGCAGGGCTTTTTTTCTCCAGACCAGGATCTATCCTCACACATGTCCCCTCCATATCCTGAGGATAAATGTCACCCTCGATCTTCTAGGGCAGTGGTCATGGTGCTGTGTCATCGTGATGGCTCCCACAGTCCTGTCCCTTCTCGGGTGCAGAGCTATGCCCAGGGCCTGTTCCCTGCCTTGCCTGCACTCTGCCCTGGGCACACCTGTCGGAGCCAGCACAAAGGGGGTGATTCTAAGCAGCTGCTTGGAACAGACAGGCAGGTTATTGGGTTACAGGTGTTGAGAGGAACATCCTTTGTGCCACTGCCACCTCTTCAGTCACCCGCCCCGCTGTGCCCTGGGTCTGCCTGGAGGCACCTGGCCTGGGGCCTCTGGGCCGACCTTGCACCTGGGGATGCTCATCGTGGCCCCACCCCGCATGCCCCAGCCTACCTGGGAGGGCAGGAGGGGTCTTCTGGCTCAGCCTGTGCCTGCTTTGGCACCCCCGGAGGCCTTAGCTAGCTGGGGGAGGGCCAGGGCTAAGGGGCTGCAGAGGTCCCTGTCCTCTGTGTGGGATGGAGCCCCCAGTCGCCACCTGTCACGTGGCTCAGCATGTGACAGCCCTGCTCTGCTGCTGTCTGGAGCTGAGCCAGGCAGAAGCCAAGGCAGAGCGGGTGCCAGGCGGGGCTGGGCTGAGGCTGAGCCTGAAGCTGTCAGCTAGGAAGCAGGCCCAGAGAAGGAGAGCCACTGGTATAAGGCCACACAGCCAATCAGGGGCCTATCTGGGGAGGCTGTGGAGGGTAAAAAGGGTGCTAGAGAATCCTGAGGGTTCTCTCTTTGGCTAGAGGGCTGTTGGGAGATCCCCCTGCAGGGGCTGAACTTATTCTGAATTTAGGAACAGCCTGACAGAAGGCATTTAAGTCCCAGACATTAACAAAGGCCACGGAAAGGGAAATAAGCAAGGTGCCCAGTTCCAGATTTTGACTAGCATCCCGATCACTCACCTAGCTCCTGGCAGGTCCCAGAGACATGGCCAGCTAGTTTTGGGCTGTGTCTCTCACTACTTTAGACTGACACAGAAGCAATATTCTTTTTCTAGAAACCGACATAATCTCCTTTCGTCAGTGGTAAGGTGGTCTAGTCTCCTAAGGTTTTGTAGAGCCAAGGCTGCCAGTGAAACTAATTTGGGGGGATGACAATGCTCTGGACGAGTCAGACAGGGTTGTCAAGTCCTGAGATAACTTTTGGTAAGGGGAGGGTATCAGTCAGTGCTTTACTAAAAAAAAAAAAAAAATGTAACTCAAGATATACAAATGCTGGTGGCCTGTGGCTGTAATCCCAGCGCTTGGGAGGCTGAAAACAGGAGGATCACTATGAGTCCAATCTTCATAGTGAGACCCTACAGACCCTGCATTTTATTTTATTTTTATTTATTTATTTATTTATTTAGTGTGTGGCCAGCTCAGCCCACCAGGGGGCGGCGGGCTGGCCTGTGGTGCTGGGGGATTGAACCGAGGTCCCTGTGCTTTGCTTGAGCTTAGCTTGTTCTAAGTAGGTGCTTTAGACCACTGAGCCAACTGAGCCATCTCACTAGCCCAGACCCTGCATTTTATTTATTTATTTATTTATTTTTTTGGCAGAACTGGGGATTGAACTCAGGTCCTTGTGCTTGCCGGGGAAACACTTATTTCACTGAGCCATCTCCCCTGTTCCTTGACCCTGCATTTTAAATACATTTAAAAAAAAGATATGGGGCCAGGAAGATGGCTCAGTGGAATAAGCGCTTCCCTGGCAAGCGCAAGGGCCTGAGTTCAATCCCTGGTTTCGAAAAAAAAAAAAAAAAA